TCCCCCACGCCGAGGCACTGGCCTTTTCTCAGAGTGTCTGGTGAAAAAAGGCTCAGGCTGGAACACAAAGCCCTCGAGTTTTCACAAAAGGCTGAGGAGTGGGAGCTGGAGGGGCGGTGTGAATGGATCGGTCTAATTGCAGAGCTGGAAGGAATCCTGGTGAGGCAGGTAGAGAAATGAAAGCAGCACAGATGTCACTCTGGTGAACATCTCCTCACTCTGCTGCTTTTAAAAGACGAAAATACGCAGCACCTGTCAGGATGAGATGACTCCTCAAGATCTGTCCAAGTTTGTGTTTCACTGGACAGGCAGGTAGATTTATTTGTCACAATAAGTTATAGAGTGAAATTGAGTTTTCTAACTCCCTTCTGCCACATAGCAGACAATATACATTAATACATAAGCAATTATAAGTAGACTAGACTAACTAGAGAGTTTTAGTGTCTGATGATGGTCTACATTCTATTATACAGGACTATTTTAGCCAAACTGGACCATGACTGTACGTTCGCACATTTTAGCCCATTTTATTTATCCCATTTACTACCAACCATAAGCCTCCAGCACACGTACACATACTCATATATACTCAATGGCCACTTCACTAGGACTGTTCACACAAAGAGCTAATCTGCCAATCACATGACAACAATTACGGTAGTAATTTTTACTCATTACCATTGACGGCAACGTTGCCCTGTACCATTGCTCTAGAAGTTGCTCTGTGTATCATCAGCTTAACTCAAATAACCACTCGTTACAACCAAGGTATGCAGAACACCATCTCTGAAGGCAAAACATGTCGAACCTTAAAGCAGATGGGCTACAGCAGCAGAAGACCACACCGGGTGCCACATCTTTTTTCCTTCAACAGGAAACTGAGGCTACAATTCGCACAGGCTCACCAAAATTGGACAATAGAAGATTGGAAAAACGTTGCCTGGTCTAATGAGTCTCATTTTCAGCTGCAAGATTCAGATGGTAGGGTCAGAATTTGGCGTAAACAACACGAAAGCATGGATCCATCCTGCCTTGGATCAAGTGTTCAGGCTGCTTGTGGTGGTCTAATGGTGTGGGGGATATCTGCTTGGCACACTTTGGGCCCCTTAGTACCAACTGAGCATCGTTTAAATGCGACAGCCTACCTGAGTATTGTCGCTGACCATGTCTATCTTTATGACCACAGTGTACCCATCTTCTGATGGCTACTTCCAGCAGGATAATGCACCATGTCACAAAGCTCAAATCATGTCAAACTGGACTTAAACGTGACATTGAGTTCACTAAACTCCAACGGCCTCCACAGTCACCAGATCTCAATCCAATAGAGTACCTTTGGGATGTGGTGGAATGGGAGATTTGCATCAACAATTTCAACAACACCTTGTTGAAAGTATGCCACGAAGAATTAAAGCAGCTATGAAACAAAAGGGGATCCAACCTGGTACTAGCAAGGTGTACCTAATAAAGTGGTAAACTGCTACAGACTCAAATTGATCCGTACTTAAACTGATTTAAAGTGCAGTAAAACACTCTGCATGGGAATTTTCACAGTGTACTGACATAAATTGAAAAATATAGCTGCACGGAAAATGAGAAAATTCAAACTGAATAAGGAAAGCAGAATATTTTACATATCAAATGGGTTAAAATACGCAAAAACACTGGTATATGTTCATTGGCTTAAACCGAAAAGGCTGTTTTTCAAAAGCTTAACACCTTCTTGGCCCTAAACAATAGTTTTGATATTTTCCAGTAAGGATTTCAACCACACCACAGCATGAACTGTTCTTGTTACTTTCTTTAATGACATCCACTTAAAACACCGACAGTCAACAAGTTTCAGTCTTGGTTAATTGGATTCGGTTGCTGCATTTGACAATGACATATTACTAGACAGACTGGAAACCTGGGTGGGACTTCTGGCACAAACTGGTTTGATTCCTACTTGAAAGACTTCTTTGTGTTGTAATTACAGATCTGACATGTCGAGTTCCCCACGGCTCCATTTTCAGGCCTCTTTTTTTCCCAACCTCTACACGTCTTACCCCAAGTATGCATGCGACCGCAGATTTATAACAATATCACCAGTTGACTATGGTCCCATACAAGCACTGAGTAAGTGAATTAAAAAAAGTGCCAATATTTTGTTAAAACAAAAACAAACAAAAAAAAGAACTTGTCATCCCTCAGTATTTACAGGTCAACCAGACAGCTCCAGCTGATTCAGTCCTCCCTAAGACCAGGAAAGTGGATCACTCCAATTCTCAGGTCTTTACACTGGCTTCCTGTTAGTCAAAATAATTGATTTTAAAATACCACTGTTGGTTTATAAAGCACGGTCTGGGATCAGGTCAGCTTACTGTCCCAAGAGTCAAAACTAAATGGCGTTCAGTTTTTTTGCACCACATATCTGGAACAAACTCCCAGAAAACTTGAGATCTGCTCCAACTCTTGGTTCTTTTAAATTAGCGCTTCAAACTTTTCTGTTTGCCTCTAAATATTATGTTTATTTTGTCCAATGTAAAGTAGTTTGAATTGCCTTGACAATCCAAATTTACATCAGACATGGTGCGTCGGCGTTTGCGCACTGAAGCATCCTTTTTTGTTATTGAGAGTGGCTCCAACCTTCATTATTGGGTAATAGTTCTCAGTCAGAGCTGTCCTTTCAGCAGACAGAGTATCTGTTCTTAACCAAGCTGACTGAAATGAATATAAATACTTAGCTCTTTAAATGGTAAATGGACTGTTCTTATATTATTCGCCTTTCTGGTCTTCCGGCCACTCAAAGGGGCTTTACTCTACATGTCACATTCACCCCGTTCACACACATTCACTGATGGCAGTGGGTGACCTTCTTTACCTCTTGAGCAAGAGCCAACAAAAACACTCTAGAAATGCTTCAAAATGCTGCTAGAGTGGATTAATCTTTAGACTATACCTATATTAAAATGGATGAAGTTAAAAAACTAATTACAAATGAAAAGCAAATTCATTAGAACCACGAGTCATAATTTTAAATGCTGTGTCATGTGACGTAAATGGCACTCCGCTGGTTCAAGGCAAATCTTCGTAACTAAATTGCAAGTCAGGTGCAAGTCTGTCAAGAACGCTTACTATTAAAATGGCATGACATTTAAACACTTTGTTAATACTGCTTACATACTCGAGTCCTTTGTGTTGCTAGTGAAGGTTCCTTTTATGTATTTTTATTTTTGAGGACTCTGTTTTCAAGTCTCAAGTCTTTCAATTAATTTGCATGACTTACCATACTTAATTATTTTATGTTTCTGTTGTCAAACAGAAATCTTGGCTCATGAATGATTGGAACAGTAACTCCTGGCGGCTGCACTGAGACACACATGGGAGATGTTTGTTCTGAAGGCTTTCTGTCAGGAAGCCTTACTTCTTGATTAGGCTTAGGCACTACTTGGTTAAGTTACGGAAAAAGGAAAGCCACAAAGCCTTTCAGCCAGAAAGCCCTGAAGGCAAACTTATCCTGTGTGCCACTGAGACGTCAATCAAATTTTTAAAAGCACAAAGCCATCTGACAAAAATTCATCAATACAATTTTATGACATCAGCAGACATATGCTGTTGTTTTCCAAAATCTCTATTCTCCTTTGTTCTCTCCATTTTCCTTGACCACACTAAAATCAAGGCTGGTATTTTTAGATTTATCCACTCTATGTAGTGTGAACAGAAGGACAAACTCTATTGAAAGCTCACACAGACACACCCACACATTTAGGCTTCCCCCACCTTTCTTAGCCCCTCCATTGAGTCTGCCCAGCAGTCGTCAATGAGGGTCATGTTCCTATTTGGAAAGTATTGATTTGAGCATTTATCCCCTCAATCAGTGTGAGAGAGCCCCCCAGGCTTAACACGCAGAGGGAGGGGGGAGAGAGAGAGAGAGAGAGAGCGAGAGCGCACTCTGGTTCTCTGAAATCATCAAACTGTCTGCTGAAAAGTTTTCTTCAGGAGCGTCTTTACATTCTGCTCTGACTCATCTATAATTTATTTCAACCATGTCATTAATTATTGTCACTATTAATTCATCTGCTAATTATTGATACTGAATGAGCATTTAGGCACAAAGCCCAATTCAGTTTACTATCTTTAAAGACTAAGCAACTAGCAAAAAAAAATAAAAAATCACATTTGAGAAGCTGGAACCAGGGAATTCTTTTCATTTTTGCTTAAAAGATACTTTACCGATGAATTATCAAGATTGTTGCTTAATAACTTTCTGTTGATCGATTAATAGATGAATTTATTAATTGTGGGCCATATGCTGACCTGCATATTTTTTTTCCCCCAATTAGTCCAACATTTTTCATACGATTCACAAAAAAATGCTGAATATTGTTAAATCTGTGATTTGTCTGATGATGGTTTATTTTATGTCTGGGAAAACCAGTCTCCAGCTTTTCGAGGAACTCCATGCCAGTGGATGCCGGCATTCAGAGTTACTCACTAGCTTAAGAAAAAACACCATCTGTATGTGACCTTCTCATCCTCCTCCTCTTTTGCTACAAGCTGCAAATCTCTGCTTCTTAACACTTTTTGATTATGACTGAACATTTTAATTAAAACTGTAACAAGAAAAAGGTAATTTGAAAACTGCAAATTTATAAATATAGCCATCTGTTCCACTTTAGCAGAAGAGTGCTGTAAACATCCCTGACATACTTCAAAAAAGTTCTTTGATTTGTTCTCTGGTAGTTCCTTCCTAGTGTACAGGAAAGTGATGCAGCTTATATTTCACACTTCTTTAAAAAGAACAAAAAATTATTGTATTATGGAGGAAAAAAAAAAAGAAAGAGACCATCGCCTTCAGAAACTCAAATGTCATTAACAAAGTCTGTAGTGCCACCCGGTTTGGTGGACAGCAGATCTCTGAGGGGTAGCGGAGAATCAATGAGCTCTTTAAAAAAACGAAGATGGACATCAAGACAAAAGCCGAGAGTGTGTCAGATGATGCGTTTGTGTTAACGTACCAGGCAGGAGAAGGAGTCGTTCATGCGGTGCTGCAGAGTGTTCTTCTGTAAAATGGTGAACAGGGCGGCGTGGTCAAAGCGACACGGAGGTGCAGAGATCAACTCCTCCACCCCCTGACGCTGAGATGGATCCAGACCTGAACAGGAAACATAGAAAAGTGTGTGAAAGGTGTTTTAAAATTATTTTTTTCCCCATACATTATAGTTTTGTGTAATGGGTAAAACTAAGCAACACTCATCCACCACCTTGACCTGAGGTGACAGGTTCACATTTTTTCAAGTCTGTTTTTAAACACTCACATTCCCATTTGAACGTCTAAAGTGTTGTTGGTCACTGTAACTGTTCCTCCCGTCCTCCGTCACTTACACTAAAATCACTTTCGGAGGGTATGTCTAAATATACATATGTGCATGTCTAAGACAGACTTGAAAAAAGGTGAGCCTATCCTTTCACTCTCCGTCTCACTACATACAGGACAGGATACTTCATCTTCAAATTAAAGGCTTTATATAATGCAATAAGGCCTTTTAATGGAATGCAGAAATTTCTATATTTTAGGATAACTGTCAAACAGTTGTGGACATCACACACCCAAACTTTTAGAAACTACTGTTTTACCAAACTAGAGCAGCTGAAGGTTTTACTGCCGCTTTTGATTAAATCAGAGTGATGAACTTGTTTATTTTGGTGAAAGACAGCTGTAGCATAGTATGGTGGATTTTAGTAATTTGTGAAATGTAAAAATGTTTAAACTATAGTGCCTCCATCAAGAGAAGAGTTCCTATGTTTGATGATATGTAACGTATAACCTAACCAGAGTTGTGTTTACGTTAGGCAGTGTTAGTAGAAAGACGAGGCAAAAGGGAACGAGAAAGAACGGCCAAGAAAACAGTAACCTCAGTGTCATAGTGAACTGGTGAATGAATGACTGCACAAATATATTTGCATGATCCCGACAGCTAAAGAGGTGATATATAAATGTGTTCAGATTCACAGTCATTCATGCCTCTCTTCATGCTCAGCAGTGAAGTGCAAACACACACACACACACACAGAAACACAGACAACACTACATTGGCAGTGTCAGTTCTCAGTGCTGTGGCTAATAGTTCCCACCTCGGTTGGCTACAGAATCTCTGTGAAGCTGTCAGTACTCTCAGCTGACACAAAACATTCGCCAAAATGGACGACATGTGAGGAAAACACTGGAAGTGACTCACAGAGTCGAAAACCAGCCAGGAAGAGGACAAACGACAACACATCGCTGATCAACTGCAGCGAGAGATCAGGCTTCGTGTCCACATGAATATAAAGAGAGATATTTCTTCACATCTTGAAAGGCGAAACCAGAGCAAAGTGTGGTGGTTTTACTTTACTAGTTGTGGTACAATAAAGTAAATTGGTTGATTGAATTGTTAATTATTCTTCTGTTTATGAATCCAAAAACAATATGATTTGAGCATGGAGGTCCATTCTTGACTTTTGGGAACAGCATTTGTATCAGAACAATCACAGTCAACTTCCCAGATGTTTTAACTTTCAACCACATGTCATTAGTCTTTAGTAGCAAAATGCAGTTCGCTCAGGTGTCATTATGTGACCTGTGCCATCACTATGTCATGTGGTTGCACCTGAGCAAACTCCTTTAAATGAATTTTTATTTATTTATTATTAACAGCCGAGAAATGACATGAGGAGAAATAAATGGTGAATTACATGCAACAAAGGTTCTCGAACAAACGCAAACCGGGCGCGCACCTATTCTATATTTTTCGTCTTTCTGACTTCCCTCCTGTTTTGTGGCTCTCAGCTTCATGCCACGTGGTTCCTACTGAAGACGTAAATCATATATATATCTTTACTACTCACAAAAATATTCACTTTTTCAAAGAATTTTCATCAATATAAAAACCTTCGGTATTGGGTTTAGGTACTTTTACACAGTAGTACAGATACTGTGAGCTGTTGTTGGAGCTTGGCCGTGCAGCGCCTGGAGCAGCCGAAGATAACGAGGCTTTAGGTCAGCGACGAAAGAATCAACAGAAAAAAGGAAAAATAAAAGAAGCAGAAGAGGCGCAGGGCGTCCCAGCCTGAGCAAATCTGGGTTCATTTCCAGTCCTTTCAGGCTTTCCTGTCAATGGCCCAGCCAAATGAAAAGCCTAACACTCTCCATTCTGCCTTTATCAGGGGAGTACATTTCGGGATGGGAAGTTTCTGAGTGTGACACATGGCCCCACAAAAGACCAAGCCTCGCTGAAGAATGCCAGCGCTGTTTCAACGCCTGCGACGCCCGCGGCTTCGTGTCCGAGACGAGCATTAGTGATCGCTTTTTATTAACGCTGCCATTTTGTTTTTGTGTAGACGCACAGAAGCCTGCAAGGACTCTCAAACATTTGTGTTTCATCCCCCCCGCCTCCCTCCCGTCTTTGTCGCTTTTGTCTGAAAGACAAAAAAAAAAAAAAGACAGCAAAAGTGAAATCTCCACAATCAACTTCCAATCGACGCTCCTCTCCTTTTCTTCCCGTCTTCTTTTCTTCTGACTCTGGCTGCCCTTTGGCTCCTGTGGCCTGCTTTCCCTCTGTCCAATTCCGATGTAGGTCATTTTACATTTGTTACATCCAAAACACGGGATTGTCCTTAATGTAATTTGGAGAAAAGACAGGGAGTGAAAGGAGCGACTCTAAAGAAAACGAGACAAAGAGATATAGATTAGTGTTGATAATAAGAGGAGGGGGGAGGAGGGGGAGTATTGATTGGGGGACAGACAGCAGAGGAGTGATGTTGATCCGTGTCAAGTCCAACTTTCAGCTATTATCTGCAAGGAGGGGGGTGTTAAAGGGGGGTTGTGTGTGTGAATGAGAGTGTGTGACAAAATATGGATGGATGTCACTGCTCCTGGCATGGATGGTGTGTTTGGCCCAGACTGTCTGCAGGTTTCTTCACTTTGTATTTTACAAACAGTTTAAAGGTAATTTTTCAAGGCACTGACTATAATCAAGAACAAAAATGGGATTTGATGCCCTGAAAATTCTAAGGGTTTTAACTTTAAACTGGAAATGTAGTCCTACAAAAAACGGATTTAAACATCTCTGCTGAGCTACGCAGAGTAGAGTGTTATGGGTAACTATAGGCACACCTCCTTCTCTGTTATGCGGCAAGCTAAATAAGCTAACTGATCCAACATCCTGTCGGAAAGCTGTTTCGAAGCAGGGAGAAAAGACAGGCATTTATGTTTTACCCAAAGCCGACCAACGAATTCAGATGAGATGCTGGATGGAGAGACAAGGACAACGGGTACTATAAACTTTACAGAGAGAGCTGGAGGAGAGCAGAACTTTATCAGACCTCTGATCTCAAACCTCATAAGCCTCACTTGTGTTTTCAAACAAAAATTATTTCTCCTGCTATGTGTGTCAACAGTGATGATTAAAGTTGTAAAAATTAAACATGTTTAAAATAGTTTACCAGAATACCTTTCTTCAGAGCTTGCAACCACCTCTCATGGCCTTCAATCGAAAATGGAAAAGTAAGTGCACCATACCAAAGTGTACTGTTAAACACCAATAAACCAGACTCAACAGATCAGGGACACCAAAATTAATCTGCTATTTGCCAAACAATCATAATGTGCGTACCCACGTCTTAAAGAGGAACTGCACCAATTTTTCACATCCAAGTTTTCCAAGAGTACTACTGCATATGTAAAAAACAAAAAACCAAGTGTACAGCCTTTAGTATCTCCAGAGGGAGCTGTGTGAAGTCTGATAAATGTCCTCAAGTGACGACACTTAAGGACAGAGTCGGTTGGGGCTGAAGACTTGAAAATGAAACAAATCTGTGTTTGTAAGAAGTGAGCTCACCAGACCTCTGTATCCTGCTGCTCATCATCACTGCTGCAGGCCAGAGCCGCTACTGGCATAAGACACCAGCATCTCTGACTGAACTGTCCGCAGTCGAGTTAGGTTTTGACTAGAAAGAAAAATATCTCTGATTCTGCTGCATCGATTCTGATCCTTTTTTTTTCTCTTTTTTTTTTTAAACTGTCCACGTTGAGTCAGCTGTTATAGAAAAGCCCTGCTAAATTGCTATAGTACTAAAATATAAAATGTAACTTTCATGTCTTTATCTTGGTATCACGTATTCAGCATGTGTGAGGATGTTTGGGTGAGTGTTGAGGGGTTTGTGTGTGATGAGGTGGGAGGGTGGGGGTAGGTTTCTGCGCTTGATCTCTCCATACCCATCTTGTCTGGGCTCCACTGGTATCGTCACGGCAACAGTCACATCTATGTGACATCCTGCTCTGAGAGGTGGTGGCGCCCGCTGATGGCAGGTTATTGATGCAGAGGAAGAGAAGGAGGAGGAGGAGTACGGAGAGCGTTTCAGTTTTAGTTTCAGGTGCGCCGGGCTGAGAGATGTGACTTGATCTGCCTGTCGGAGCGTGGTGGCGGCGACGGAGATGATGTCAGGGTGAGTAAAGATGAAGATGCAGACAGACAAGCCCATCAGTCTCAGTCTGGCTGAGCGAGCCTTCTCATAACGCAGAGTACAAACAATCTCAACTCGGTGAAAAGTTTGAGCGAAGCATCACCAGCTATTCTGCTGCATTTGAGGGCGCCGCTGAAACCCCGGGGAGGTTAAAACAAACGGACAGTTTGGACGTCTCTCCTCAGGATTGTCCTTGTTGTCAAACTGACCACCTGCTTCTTCAAAAACACAACTGACAGGTGTAAACATCCCCGAAAAACAACTTCAGGGGTGAGTCTCGACCCCTAACAGGCCCATCTGTTCAAACTGAGGACAGAAGTCACATTCTGCGTGATTTAAGTGGATTTCAGATCAAAGGCCAGGGCCAAACCTAGCCTCAGATGATTTCTACTAGTTTAGACTTTGTTTGTGGGTCCTTTGAATGCTGGTCCATTTGAGTCTTGTTTATGTGAAGTACAGGCTGCAGTGAACGAGCAAGGGTGGGTGGTGGGGGGGGCAAACAGGAAATGATGTCTCATGGAGTTTCGTTAGCAAGCTCGCACTTTTTCACTTCAGAGCATAGAATGTCACAAAGACAAGCTGCTGAAATTTGCTCATGCACCAGTAAAACGTCTCCTGAAACTACATCAATATAAAAGGCCTCGTTTTGTTAAAATCACGTTTTTTTTCTCCCTTCTTTTTGCTCATGTCTCAGGTCTTTACTCAATAATCAGCTTTTTCTTCCGCTGTAGCTTTTTCAGCTTTCTTTTATTCCTTAAGTAACATCTTCTAACCTGAAAACATCATTGAGGAAACAAATTAAAATATAAAACAAACATATTAAAGAATATCTTACCATCAGGCTAAAAAAAACAGGGCTTCACTGCCCTCTCCCTGGTTGAAGGATTGAAGTCTGTTTCACCCATCATAGCTGATTGGTCTGGTCAGTTGCACCAGTAAACACACCCAACATTAATGTCACGGTGTACTGACCCACTTATTTTTTTGGAGGTCCACTAATACAAGATTTTCAACTGCTTATAAGTTGCTCTTTGACATACTACTGTTAGTTTTGCTTTAAAGCGAATGTTAATGTTGGCTTCTATCACAACTGAGGCTTAAAACATCCAGCACATTGTGGTAAAAGCTGACCACAGTACATAGACTGTCCCTTGGGATTTAGGTATGAACACGACCTTTCCATTGACATCATGCACAAGACAAACTTGACATTTTTACCCCACTAGTGGATTAAAGAACGGAAAAGTTGTCTCTCCGGTTAAGTTATTCTGCATATTATTATACTGGTGTGTCATGAACATTAAAGCCAATAGTATGATATGACTTTTAAGTTGTGCCTCACAACTTCTCAGATCACGCTCTTTTCATCTGTGTTTGAATTGACCCGTTACTAAAACTTACCACTATTAAAATGTATTAAAGCACAATCGCTGGTTATTTAGACGTACATGAGCACATGTTTGTGTGTCTACAACAAGAATGATGGTTTCTTCTTGTAAATAAAAACCTGCTGTAGTATTAGAGCATTGTTGGACATCAGCTGGTAAACAAGAGGAAGAGCAAATCCCTTAAAACAGAAGCTGAGGGTTTACAGAGCAGGATCAATTCAGCATTAGACAACAATAACAGTCAGTGTGGGACTGGTATATGTACGTCTCTAACATGACTTCCACGTGTAAACAGCGTCATTGTTTGCTCTCACACACTGGCTGATAATATCTGACACCACTGCTGCTACTGGCACCAGGTCTGGTCGGCAACCAGTTTGAAATGAAACATCGAGATGAAGCATCTGACCACAGTCACTAGTTCTTCCACCCAAGTCAAACTCACAGCGTAATACACGGGGGAAAATGTACCAAATGCACACGAACTAGTCTTTTGGGATTGTAAATTTGCACAACAGCACTGTTGATCACACTCACGAGATGTTTCACAAAACTTAAGAAAAGTAAAGTTTCTAACTCTGCAGAAGAGACTTTTTTTTTTTTGCTGTCTTGTCTTTCTTTTCTTGTTTTGTGTGAGGTTAACATTACCTGTCAAATGTAGCTTGTTGGTTCTCGCTGGTTTGCTGCCCTTATATGGGTTTACTGGGGCGTTTCCCTATAGTACTTGCAAATTGCCTGGCTCACACACAAGATCAAACCAATTCATCAATTTGGCTGTCAGTGCACGTTTCATAAATCCCATGCAGGATTTTCTTATTTTCCTTTTATTGCTTTGTGCAAGAACAAATTTAAGAGAAAAATAAGAAAACATTTATGCATGAGGCTCATTATCTCACCTGTTCATCAGACAAGAAGAATAGCTCATTTGTGATTTGATAACCTAGCTCCTTCCATGAAGTCAAGACGGGAGAAGTATGATATCATTTATGTTAAATATCCCACCTTTGCGTCTATGAGCTTGTATGCTTGCTCATCAGTGTGTTCACATGCAATGATTAGTGTCTTTTAACCTCCGCATTTCATTTTTATGACAAACGCCTGCAGGGTGAGCACAAACGAATATGCAGGTTCACCGACACGATCGTTTTAACGCGATAACGACTTTCTGTCAAGCCCATTACAAACAAACACACATACACACACACCAAGCTGCACTTAGGACCCAGTTAAGAGCTATTTCAGGGACACCTTCTATTTCCTCCTGCTAACAGCGTGTCACCACCTCTCGCCATTAACGCTTCAATCTGTTTCATTAAATGCTAACGAGCGCCGGCGAGTACCGGCCGCCGCCACACCAAATTACACAAATACTGCCATAATCAGCTCTCAGTATGAAGCTCTTCATAGCACAATGCTTGGCCCGCCAGCAAGCAGACGCCATCCTCCTCTCACAGATAATGAAATGATTTGTAGGTGAAGTTAAAAAAGAAATGTGCATGTGTGGAAGGAAAGAGGAAATACAACAGAAGTTTGGAAGAAATAAAAGACGCATAAAGGGGAAGTAAAAAGAAAATTCAGAAAAACAGGACAAAAGAAACATTTAAGATATAGGATTATAAGGGGGCAGCGTGGTGGAGCAGTGGTTGTACACAAGGTAAGGTTGTGGGTTCAAACCCCGGTTGCCCCGGCCTTTTCTGTGTGGAGTTTGCATGTTCTCCTCGGCTGCTCCGGCTTCCTCCCAACGTCCAAAGACATGCAGGTTAGGTTAATTGGTGTCTCCATAATTGTCCTTAGGTTGTTTGTCTATGTGTGGACCTGGATGCATTGGCGACCTATCCAGGGTGTACCCCGCCTTTTGCCCCAAGGTATGCTGGGATTGGCTCCAACCCCCCACGACCCTGTACGCAGGATAAGCGGTTGACCCCACAAGTGTTCACTGAAATCAAATGCATTAAACATGCTTGTCAAACCTCAAGGATACACAAACACTGAATGTAAACATAACTGTGTTTACAAGAAAACACCACAGGGCCCCTTTAAGATGGGTACATGAGGGGAAGGAGGGAAGAACAGGGAAAAAACTAAAATAGGAAAGAAAATACTGAATACTAGAAGAAAGAAGGGGAAAAGAGATGAATAAAGATTGATAGGCGGAGGACACAGATGGGGACAAGTGGCAGAAAGGGAAGCATGGACAAAAAGAAGAAACATTGGGTGGAGGGAAGAAATCAAAATGGGAAGACGGGCAGACTGAGTGATCGGAAGAGATACAAAAAGGGGGATGAATGATATGACAACTATGTTTTTCTGAAGAAAGGAGAGTCTCCCATTTAGTTTTTTCTCTCTTCCCTTTATTCCTTTCTTTCATTTCAACCCTCCTTTCTTCCCTCGTGTGTGTTTTGTCTGTATCTCAGCAGTGCAACCTGCACGCCGTTCACCTGTTTCCATCCTACTGTATTGTTTGTGCATGTTTACTCTGTAAACAAATGAAAAAAATATTTGGAAGTTTCGTCTGAGATCTGGTTTTTCAATCCTGGATTTCTTAAAACTTTGGTCAGAAAACGACAAGAAGGAACAAACAGTGGGGAAGGTCGATGTTAACTCTAACATACACGTCTTGAGATCTTTTTCTTCTATTTCCATGCAATGCTCTTGTTCTGATGGCACTAATTGTTAGCTCTTATTGCTCCCCCTAGGTAGTTATCCCATTAATGCCCATTAATGCCCATTAATCGGAGTAGATAACAAAAAAATAAGAGAAGGTTAATGTCATAAAACACCTGAAGATACCAATACCATACTATATCTTTAGTCTGATCTGCTTTTGTTTTGTTGAAGTTTCATTTTTAAATAATTAAAACAAAACCCAGTGAGAATCAGAACCTACTGATGGGGGATGCTGGTTTCTGGATTCCTCCTCTGCAGTTTGTGGTTTTGTTCTGCGTCGGTGGGATCGGTTTATAGGACTGTCCGGTGGCTCGGTACATGGCCTGGACCCACAGCATCCGGTCCTGCTCATCATCACAGGCAAACATCACTAGGTCGCCCTCCTTCACCGCGTTAAAAAACACCCGGCCGCCCTGCAGGCCTGAGGAGGAGGAAAGCGAAAGGAAGCAAAAAAACAAATCAATATAATAAACAAACAGCACAAATCCCCATTGCCTGGAAGTTTCATGAACTTGGGTAAACGTTTTCACATTTACTGTTGTATTGCTCAGTCCTTGTAATGTGTGTTTACTGTTTATATGTGACAGTTTTTTACTGTTTATTGTTTTTAATGTTAATTGTCTTTATTGGGGAGACATTCATGTTCTATTATAATCTAGTACTCTACTCTGAAAAGTCTCCCGAGCTGCTGAAGGGTTGGTAAATTAACCTTCCGAAGACACCAACACTGTGGACTCTCTTACACACACGGTTTCAAACTCACCTCTATCTCTCAGCCTACCCATAATTTCAAGCTGTTTTATTTATTGTGTTTTCTACTACTTTTACTATATTTTACTTCCTGTATTAGAGTTTGTTTTTCAAAAAGAGTTTCCAAATAAAGTCGATTCACATTTTTAGCTTTAAAGTGTTCCTACAGCAGTGTGTTTTCTGTATGCTGTTCCAGTGAACATCCCTGTGTGATGATGATGATGTCAGTGAGACAGCTCAGGTGTGTCTACCTGTCTGGGGGTCGCAGTAGTCCACCGTGTAGCCCTCCAGCTGCATCAGCTCCTGAGGCTCGGCTTTCTTCTCTCTGTAGCTGCACATGGCGAACGTGTACTGACTCACCTGCAGGACAAAGGCACACTGATGAACCTGACTGTCTCTGAACCAAAGTCCAGACCTTCAGGTGAGACTCAGATCCACTTTGACTGCAGCAGGTTTCAGGTCTGTATAAATACTGTCAAACATTTTTAATTGGGACCTGACACTAAAAAAAACACAACAACAATGCCTGCGGCAGTTTTATGGAACAAACTATTAACTCAAAGCACCAGTTGTTTTTTCTTAAAATCGCTTTTAACTTTTATGGCTCTTACAGTGACGGTTACATTTTAGTCACTGTGTTCAATTTGCTAAAATTAGTAAAACCCAGCAGGTAATTTTACAGTTCAACACATACCACTATTTTGAAGATATGTTCTATCCTGCTGAGACGCTACATCAGCCAAAAGTATGTGGACAGCAGAACCACAGGCATTGATGTGCTGCTTTAACAGCCTCCACTCTTCTGGTTTCAGTCTTTCCATCAGATGATGAACCTGGCTGTAGGTATTTGCTCCGATTCAGCCACAAGAGCATTAGTGAAGTCCAACGCTGATGTTGGGTGATCAGGTTCACAGTCGGTGTTCAGTTCATCCCGAAGGTGTTTGATGGGGTTGAGGTCAGGGCTCTGTGCAGGCCAGTTCACAGCAAACTGAGTAAACCATTTCTTTATGGACCTGGCTTTGTGCTCGGTTTCCATTTGACAGGGTTGTCCAATGCCCACATATTGGCCTTCTTCAGTTATGTTTTTTTCTATAGATAATAATGCTTTCACATTTCCCTTACATTGTGCAAGTGAACAGATGTTTCACTTCCTGCAGACATCTTGATTTGGTAGACTGAATAAAGCGGTAGCAGAATATATTTCACACCATCAGGATAGAAAACTCTTTGAGGATTTTAGAAATGTTGCCAAACACTCAATCAAGCATCAACATCCTCAGTAAGAATCAATAAAATGTAGATGACACTCAATTTAAAGATTCTGTCATTTGATGCCCTTAAAAGGACTTTCGATCTGGTGCAGAGTTAAGAAAAGAAAACATTTAATTTACTGTCTGCTCTTGCCCTCAGAGATCCTGAGTGATCACTAAGTGCTCAGAAACTAAATAATGTTATGTGAAAAAGTGTAAAATAAAGATAAAAACTCAATTAACTTTGCTTCAGCAGGACTAAATACCTTTTTTTTGTAAACACATTTCGAGTAGAGTGACTGATGTGAGATGATTTCTCTAACATAATATAGTTTTTTTTAAATCTACAATATCAAAAAAGGAAAAGAGTTGTTGAAAGAGAGACGCCTCAATGTGAGCACATGTTTTCTGTGAAGGCTGACGGTTTGATCTAATTTGTATTAAATAGACGCAAACTTTTATTTCATGTCAAAAACCACACTTGAGACAGATCTTTTCTTCTACAAATAAATCATTTTCAGTCAGTTGCTGTAGATTTATTCCAGTTTTACTTTTAACTTTTAGTCTTTCCTTCCCAGCCTGTAGCGCCTCTCTGATCTTAACACACAATTTCCAAATCAATCGTAGATCAATACATGTCATCTGATCTTGGTCAGTTTCTTACCTGAACAAGAACAAAATATCTTTTTTTCCACCGTTTCCAGACTCTCTGGCCCACAGCGTACAGGTGCCTGGAACACAAACAACAACACGACGTCAACCTAAGAGAAGAAATTTGAGTTTGAGTTTTGACTCATTGTTGGTGAGGTTTAAAACTTTTATACTGATCAGTTGGGAGAACGATTTTGTCACCAATGACTGTGCAGAGTGTTTCTTAAAGAGCAAACTTGGTCGGTCACCAAACACAACAAGAAACTGACAGACAAATAAATAGGAATAAAACACAAATGGACAGTGTTTTACTTTCTCCCTTACAAAAAGCATGTGTGAAATTTCTCTCTTTACATGTGAAATGTCTGAAACCTCACGAGGGGAGCAACTAATGTTTCATTATTGATTGATCCCAGTTTCTGAGGGATCAAGGCGACGTGTTCACATGTCTTGTTTTATCTGACCAACAGTTCAAATCCTAAAAGGTATTGAAATTATTATGATATTAAAGAGAGAAAAGCTGCAAATCTTTGTATCAGAGAGGGAATCTGCATTGTTGCATGAAAAATTACTTGAATGATGAATCGCTGATCAAAATAGTCAACTCTAAATTCATCAGATATTTCACGTGTGATATTATATCCAACATCAAAGTTTTCAAGAGTCAAAAAAGCCAACCATTGCTCTGAAACAAAAGGACATCTGAACATCTTCAATTTTATAGCTGATGAAGATCATGTGATAAGATCGAAGGCTCCAGAACAGCTACCAAATGGACATTGAGATGAGATTGCTTTGTCAAATGTGAAATGTGCTTCATGTGCGATTGTTTTTGTAAAAGGCTCCTCCCTCAAAACAGTAATTTGTGGGCTAAATAATGAAATAAAAACATTTCATTTCTCCATTTTAGTCAGTCTTTCTGTTTGTTTCCTCACATAAAGCATTTGCCAACTTGAATAATTAAACTGACAACTGCGATATAGAACGTAACTTTCCCGCTCAGCTATGTCATTTAAAGCTTCAACGATCTATCAAATAATCAATTAGTCAATCAACAAAAAAATATATCGACTACTCAATTATTTTGATCATTGATTAATTATTTAAGTCATTATTAAACCAGACCTGCTCGGTGGATTTTGTTTTATACCGTTGCTCACTGGGTATCTTGACCTCTGAAGACATGGATGGAAATATTTCACTATATTCTGACAAATCCGACTGAAGATAAATAAAAAAATTAATCAACGGATTCATCGATAATTTAAATAACTGTCCTCCCTCGTGCATGCAGGTGATAGTCCACACAATAAGTAAAAGATAGTAATGACTTTATTTTCTATATAGCTAGCACATTTATTCTTAATTTGAAGCATTTATGTACATTTTATTAACTCCTGACACCTTCAACACTGTTGAGATAGGGAGTTTTTTGTCGAAGCAACATTTTCAGGCAGCTATTGAGACTTCTCACAAATAATGCTGATGCGTATAAGCTGAACAGTTAAAAACACAAACAACCAGGAGCCATTAAGTGTCTTCAAGGATCAGATTGTATCAGGATTTTAAAGCTCCTTGATGCGTGTCCTCATGTTTTCTACCACAACACCACATTATGTCATTACTGCCCCAGCTGTGAACATTATTAACACATTCATTTCCTCACCAAATGTGAAACTAAAAGGAAAAAGTAATGAGTCCTGAGCCGAGAGAGGCCGTGACACCGACAGCAGCTCATTGAGGAAGTCTTGAGGAAAATGGAAGAATGACCAGCATGGCCTCTCAATCAATGGCTGCACCCGGGCCTCCTGAAGCGTGGGATACAGGCAAGTGCAAGTGAGGAAAATCAATCGATGGCGAGACCTCTTTCTTCAGCCCTGCCGCCCACCCTTATAGAAAAGGCCTCCAGTCAAGGCTGCGGCACGTCTGGACAGAGAATCTGGGCCATTCTGCACGACTCCAGGTTAACATGTGGCACCGCTCGCCGGCCACTTGTGAAAATGATTTGGCCGTCTGTCCTCCTGCAGGGTTTCAAACATCCATTCAGCCGCACGCCGTCGCGATGATGGACTGCAGACGGCAAAGAGTTCACTGCAGGCATTTAACAGTCCTCGCTGCAAAAAACCATCCATCTTTAACTGATCATTTAGCTGGATATTCACTTAAAGGCTTTTTTCAAAGAGTTATGAGACATTGGACTTTTTCTATTAAAACTATAAAGACTACAGCTTCCCTTATTCCTTGAATGGTCTAGAAATGATTGTTTTAAATTAATCAGAATAAGGCTGATCACTGCACCACAATCATGAATTTTAACACTTGTCATTATTTGTGTGACAGGTTACGTAAACTCACCACATGGGCTGATTTTGGTAATTAATTATAAGAAAACACGTTTTAAGAATTAATAATAGGTAAGATTATTGCAGTGGCATCTGCGGAAATTATCATTGTTTCATAGATTTAGATTTTCTTTTTGATTGTCTTGAATTGATTTGCATTTCCACATTTTATGATGCATGTATCAAAAATAAGTTTCGTCTCCCGCAACATTAACATTGCCATTTTAGAAAAAAGGGGAATCAATTTTGAAACTAGTGACACCAACAGAAATGTACTACAAATGTATTTGAAGTGATCTTTTCCAGTTTTTGTAGATTTACTGCAAAAAATACAGATGATTTTCACCAGGTTTAAGTTGCCAAGAGCTTGTTCCATCTTCTGTGAGGTGAAATAATCTCATCATATTGGCTGATTTCTTCCTTTGTTTAAATAAAAAATATTGTTAGGACGTAATTAGTTTGTTTTAGCAGCAGCGCACCTGAAATATTCCACAACAACATCTTCAGCATTCACATAACAAAATGTATATTTTATTAGAGCAGATTTTAACCAGATTTTTTGGTTCCTAAGCATCAAAAAGTAATTTACAATCCTGTGTCATAAATATCTGTCTACGTTGCCAGATATTTCTTTATTCTTTTAAGACAAACAAACAAAGCTAGTAATTTCTACTGGGGAAGGGAGAGCACACAAACAATTTCATTACAGTGAGTTTTTTGCTTTCACATGAACGCCGTTTTCATTTTTTGGTTGAAGAATTCATTTGTGAAAGCAAACCTCCCTAATAGAATTTGTTAAAAAGGTGTTATGCTTCTGAATTTAACAAAAACACAATAACCAGAATGATAAAAGAATCAACTGCAGGCTGCATTTCCTGTTATTTTTAAATGGTCATAGTAAGATGTGACACATTCACATTCAATACAAGTAAAACAAAGCATCTGACCTCCTTAAAACACCTGATCGGAAACAGGATACAGAATAAATATTTTCTCCAGAAAATAAATATTTTCTCCAGAAAACAATCCAAGTATTTAATGATCACAAAAGGAGGTAAAAGGCTCAAGATCCAGTTAATTTCAGTGACCCTTTATGTAATTATAAAAGAACTCCATAACCGCTGACAAGTAAAATATTTCTTCACCGTCTACCCAACGCACAAAATAAAATAAAAAATACAAGAAAACATCAAATCAGAATGCGTTTCCAAGATGTTTTCCTATTTGTGCACTTTTTCTTTATCTCAACCTTTTTGTCAGCCCCTTTTTCTTGGCCTTTTACAGGATTCATGTCTTTAATGTGTTCAGGTTCCTTTTTTTGCTCTCTGAACCCAGGAAAAACTAAAAAACCAATGTAAAAAATGTTTGGACTGGCTTGTTCTCCTTTTTTGTCCCTTTAACACACATTCCTGCTTTAGTTGGCCTCTTTTTGGTTTTTTTTTTTTCTTTTGACTTGTGAGGAGTCATTTTGGTCATCTTAAAATATGCAGAATTCTTTATCAGAAATTCATTATACAGGCCCTGTTTGCCCCGAGTAAGTCTTTAGATCAAAGATTCACCATGAAAACAGCATCAAATAAGGAGAAAATACCAAAACAGAGGATGACACCTTTTAGCAGGTGAATCACAAATTGTGTATTTAACAAACCAGAAATGACAGAAAGACAGTTTAAACACATGAAGAAGAGCTGGCTGTAAACCAGAGATGGAGCTGGATTCACATGGAGACTTAAACTGACCCCTTGTGGAGTGTTTGGAAAACTGCAAATGATATTTATCCTTTCTTGTCTATTACTTCAATAACTACCCCAAGAAACAGTGACCTCTTTGGAAACGCATGAGAAGATCAGATATTCACTTAATCTCATACATTCAGGATGTGTTAAGTTTAGTTTAGCATAAAGACTGTAAGCAGGGCGGAACTGATAATAGTTCAAAAGAGAAAAATCCACCTTACAACTACTCCAAAGATGTTTTGCAGCCTATACAAACACACGATAACGTCTTCATTCTCAAGTACACCTGTTTGTAACTGTACTTTAACCTGACAGTTAAGAAGGGGTTTTGGGAATTGAGTTAGCAAAGACCTGAACTGATGAACTGTCCAACCTGTACACCTCTTTTTTTAGAGACAAAAAGTCAGAAAAATTATTATTCAACACAGAATATTTGTATATGAAATGTATCTTTAAGGAGTAACTGGATAAGACAAGAGTTAAGAGTTTCTCTTACTATCCGAACATCACTAAACGTTGTCTTTGAGCCTTCTGCTCTCAGGGTCACTGACAAATTAGGCTTTTTAAAAACCCCAAACACTAAAACCCTCAAACTGTGAAGGCAAAGTGTTGACAGCGCCCGGTGAAATAAAGAGGGGAGGTGAGGGAATAGTGGATAAGATGCATGGCTTGGTGTGGGAGACCTGTGTCCAATTTCCACTGCAACAGATCCACCAGTGTGTCCCTGCAAGACACTTAACGGCCAGTTGCTTCAAAGGCGTGCAACTTTGGATATATATAACAATTGTAAGTAGCGTTGGATTAAAGCACTACAGAGAAAATGCACATACATTTAACATTGTATTTATGTCCACATAGATGAGAACAGTACAACGACAACAATATCGGAGGTGCAGTAGAGCATATTCACCAGTGCCATAAATCTTTACAATACAAAGCATACAGCAGTAACAACGTCTATGCCCTATCACAGTATTCTGAAGTCCTTTAAGCCGCTTTATTGGGTATCCTAAGTTGCTGAAGCCTTCTTACAACCAATGTGTTAATATGTCCTAAGTAGATTTCACCTATAACCCAGCTCTAACACGGTATTTAATGACCTTGGTCGTAAAGGCTTCCTCAAAGCCAAAGTCAAAGGCGCAGGCCACCTCTAAAACAAACACCGACTTGGACTCTTCATTGACCAATAAAACATCTGATGTATTGGCAGGAAAATGTGAAAAATAGCAGGGTTACGATCAGAGAGATGGAACCTGGAAGGTTTGACACAGGAATGGTTGCGCATTCTCATTGAGAGTGGACAATTGTTTGACATTTCCTTTGTTATGAGGTCCTCTACTCTGTCATAGCATGCCATGTACAATCCTTTGTAAGCATAACAGCCATTGTTCAGTGTGGTGTGCTGCAAGCAACCAGTGATCTGAGGATTAGAAAACCTGATAGAAAGGCTGGCTCTGATGGAAAGGACTTGTAGTCTGGCTTTTACTGTGAATTGGACAATGTCTTAATTGAGCACAATGTTCTTGAGGAAGGACTGTGACACATTTGAGAGTTAGGTTTTGCTGCCATCTTCTGGCAGAAAGTAATAACTGCACAACATACACATTACCTCAATAGGCTTTATGTAATTGATCAGGTTTGCTTGAATATAACAATGTAGTGACAAATAGATTTTCATTTCAGCTTGGAGTTGTTTTATCTGTCTAATTCACTGATTCCCTACATATACACAGTCTATGTTCCCTACACATTTTTTCTCTAAATTAACAGGAAGAATTGCAACAATTTGCAAATGTAACTTATGTAAACAAACCTTAAAGGGCATCAGAATTTATTTTTGAGTAAGTTGTTGTCTATAGTCCTTGGTGATAAAATACCAGTCAATCAATATGGGAGTGGGTAGATAGCAATTTTGCATTTTCAGTTTTGCTAGTGTGTGGAGTTATAGCTATCATCTTGAATCCAGTTTGGTGGTCTGAGTCAGCTTTTTGGGGGATTAACAATATTCAAGCGTAAATTAACTTCTATAAGAACTAAAACTAGTCCCAGCGTTTAAGGAAACCCACCTCCCACTGACGGATATGACGGTCCTGGTTGTATGACAGCCAACAGATTCTGTGCCCAGAAAATGTCACTTCATTTCAGGAGAGCTCTCTGACAAATGACCTCTCTGCAGGTAGAATTTTTACAAAAAATGGCATTAGCTTGGAAAACCTGGGCAAACCTACTGATATAGGAGAAGACAGAAATCAGCCATTTGACCTCTAACTGATAAGCCCTCCTTATTGGTCAAAATACTTAAATATCACAATGAAAAATAATATAAGAATATTATAAAAAAAGTATTTTTGATCTCTAAGGCTGAAACATCAAAGAAGAGTTCAGCAGTGACTGAAATCAGTGAGGTAATTTCACAGTTTCTCTGACTGAAGTTAAACATAAATTCTATTATTCTTTAATAAATAAACTTTTCAGTGTCAACTTTTACTTTATACTATTCTTTATATCTTAATTAACTGCAATATATTATATTGTATATGGTTTTATAGATTTCAATTGAATTTTGAAATAGGGGATAAACAAGCTGTTATTATCTCACTGTGATCTCATCCTCAGATTCACAGTTTCTGCTTCCTTTCTTTAACCAGCAGGTGAAGCTGTTAGCCTGCACACTGAAACAAGCACACACTCTTAGAACTTTTTGAAAAGCTTTCCTTCATGTTTGTTTGTTTTTGTACAAAATTATTATTCTTTTAAAGCATGATGACTTTATTGTGTTTGTATGGAGGAAGTCTGAAGGCTTATACTTTGCAAAAACATGTTAATGTTTGTTAAGCTCGGCCCACTGTAGAGTGTATTTCCATTTAGTTACAGAAAACACACGTCATTACAGGCAGACATGTTCGCTGGGAAAATCTAAACCTCTGTGCAGTTTTGTTTTGGAGGCTGATAAATCTTCAACCTTGTGGATCTGTTACTCAGACTGGACTTCCTGGATATCATTGTTTTACCCGACCTGAAACAACACCCACCCACCGACACAGCCCTACGTTTCTTCATTTTCATTGCAGGACTTTCCTGTCTGAACACCCACTGTATTGGAATATAAACAATCACCGTATGAATTTTCTAAGCTATTTTCTCTCATGCGTCCAGAGAGAGTTTAGAGGTACCAAATAATTCAGAGATGCACAAAACAAAAGTACCATTCTTCTCGGCAGTAACATTGGCACAATCACCTCTACCTCCTGCCAAAACCTGGCAGACCCTCAGCGTATTGTCCAGCTCTACAGCTCACACCGCTGCCTGGGAGAGGACAGCCCCTGCTTCCACAGAAAATAAAGACCTTGCCATTGGCAATGTCAAAGTTTGCGCTTAAAAAAAAAGTCCAGTCTATATCAAGGATAACGTCGTCTTTGATTTAAAGGCACCCTTTTTCTTTTCTAACATTTTCCAAAGAAGTTGGATTTAAACTTGTTTTTTGAGAGGTCTACTCTGCATCATTACACAAGGATAACAAAAATTACATAAACATAAATTACATAAAAAAACAATCAAACTAAACAAAACAGAAAATTCTGCTATAATGCCACCTGTCTTTTTTAGAAATTGATCTGGGATGAAAATGACTTAATATGTTTAGTTGTCCTTCACAAATAAATGGATATTGACGCAATGGCAGTGGGAGAAATGTAGAAGTTAGTTAAACTATGACGCTGAAGATAAACAGAAGAGTGAGAGGAAGAGTTGAGAATGGAGGAGGAAATGTTTTGTTTCAAATAACCAGGGACTGAACAAAGTAAAATCAACAACTTGTCCCTGCAGAGGTCTCAGACTGGTTGCTTAAAAATATCAATCTGGTTCAACCTTCTTTCTTCTTAAACACATTTTGTATATTTCTTTCAGGATCTGGCAACCGTGTAGAGGACTAGACACTGTGACGTCTGCAGACTCACCCGCTGTGTTTCATGTTGGGGGGTTTGTCCATGCGGACGGCCAGTTTGATCTTCAGCTCTGTGTCCTGGCTGTTCTTGGGGACGACCATCCGGTGGAACTCAGCCTGCTTTGGCCCGTTCGTGGTTGGATTCAGGACCACCTAAAGGGGGGGGACGATGCATAGCAGAGGGCAGGGATTGGTTAGCAAGTGTAATAAAAGGTCCAGAGTCTGTAGGTTCTTCTGTAAACTTTTACTTTGCGCCTTGGATACATAATCCACTAATCAGTGTGCAGTCTTGTTCAACACAATCATTAACATTGGTATGAGAGTAAAAACTTTACAGATGAACTTAAACAACACCATCCACATGATAAGGATACAGAATGTCTTGGTTACAGGTCTCACAGACATATCTTAAGACATGTGTCTTTGCTGTATCCGTATCAGGGCCAATTAGGAGTGTATTAATTGGATAGGCTACAGGTCCTGAAGCAACAGATCAACATTAAATACAGTTTGTTTGTCAACAAGCATTTCCACCATCAGTTAAGCCCCTGATACTTGCTTTTTAACAATGCGCAAGCGTGGACAGGCGTCGGCGACACAAACGGCATTGTTCACATATTTGCCTGCGTTCTTTGCATGTACCTGAAGGATTACGTGAATCAACTAGGGGGCAGATCAGGGCCGGATTATCACTCAGACACCAGATTATCTTCCTTGACAACCTCTGAATTTGCACATCAGAAACAAACCAAGCATAGCGACCCTTGAGGAGGTTGATTTTAATGAGACATAATCTCTGTAATTGCGGACTAGCTCCAGGAGTTTTATTGTAAACATCCTGCCATTAATCTCCTTTTTATTTCTTTTAAAGTCTGCCACTGACCTTCTTCTTCTTTTGCATTTAATGGCAGTTGGCAAACCAACTGCATAACGCCACCACCTAGGCTGGTGTGTGGAACTGTAGATTGCTGCTGTCGGTTCGACATAACGCCCCCACGTTCATTTGCTAACGTTGTAATAATTTCTTGAGTTGTGCACAACCTGAACTCAAAAGGAACGCAGGATACGTGTGGTAGCCATCTCGCGTATGCGAATGCGTAATTAAGAGCAAGTACATGCGGGGCTTTACACCGCTTATAAATTCCATCCAGTGAAGATACAAATTTTAAAAGTGGGATTGGTGCCCCGTGAGAGTCTGCAAACCAGCAACCAAAGCTTTTTTTTTTCTTTTTTTTTGTTTTTTTTACTGTGGTTTGTCTTCAGGGTCCTTCACCTGCCTGCTTCCAATGCAGCGCGCGCACACACAGACTGAACTGTCTGCTTTCAACTCAAGTCATTGTTCTGCTCACACAAAGTGGTTGTGAGTTAGTGTGTGACTCATGTTAACATTTCCAACATCAGGTAGGATGTCTGTAACTTTCGAAATTTGCAGCTCTGTGACCAACTTCACCACTTGCCGTTCAATCATAATCAGTCAGTAATTAAAGGGTTTAAACCTTCACAGATGATTTCTCTTGGGGAGGTCTGATTCATCAACTCCTCAGTGATTCTGATCCTGTTCCCTCCCTGTAATGAGTCTGTAAAGATTCTCTTTCCATAAAAGTCTTGTCATTGGAAGGAACATTACAGTAAAAGACACCTATATCTGAATGACAAGAAGCCATCACTTTAGAGGACACAGCGTGTAGGATTTAGTGGCATCTAGCGGTGAGGTTGCAAAGTACAACAGATTGAATACTCCTCAACTCACCCTCCCGATTCATGTTTTCAGGCAATGAATATTAGAGAAGCTACTTTTTCAGCAAGTTGATTGGTGTCTTATCTTTGGACAAAATTTCCACGTCCTCACAATGAAACTTAAAATAAATCTGCATCTAAAACGTGACATTTTTTTATGATTGTAATTAACTTAGCATTGAACACTGAAGACTGTTAGCATTTCTAAAATCCTCACATCACTCACAGATTCAAAGTGACCAGAAGGAGAGTCACAATAACACGTCAGCTCCAGTTAAAATTCTGAACCTGCCTTTGTGCCACTGGATTATCGATGCTTTCATCATCACATATGGCAAAAGATTTGTGTCCAAAAAGGACATGCACTTTTAAAATTAGCTATATTTTATGTGTGTTATTATTCACCTCCCCCTTCTGCTGATGTTGATACTGATGCTTACTGAGCTGGTGCTTTCAGAACTAACAGGGTGTAAAAGTGAAGGTTTCAGTCTGCTGCAGATATCAACACAGATTTACAATCATGTTTGCCTTAATGTAAAAATATGACCCAGTCAGTTGAGTTGTTAATTAGTTCATTATTCAGGAAGACAGTTTGTTTGACACTGAGCTCCATTGCTCTTTAGTTTAACTGCACGCAATGAAGTGTTTAAAATGCTTTAGATTAAAATCAGACTGACAGGGAGTTACAAGCAGTGTTGGGCAGTAACACGTTACTGTAATATTATTAGTTTTCCCAGTAACTAGTAGTGTAACAGATTACTTTTCTAAAACAGTAATATTATTACAGTTACTAATCTGTCCTTGTAATAAGAAACTAGTAATGTAATACAATTTCTGAGTAACTTGCCCAACACTGGTTACAAGTTTAGACTATATTGTTGTTACACCTTTAGGGCTGATTCATTTTATCTGTAAATTTCCCGGATTTTCAGGATCTATTATATGAATATACCACAAATATATGTGGTCAACAAATAAAATACTGACTGGGCATTTAAGAAGAAGATTATTACACCAGTTCTGGTTGAGAAAACAAATGTGTCTTGTGAATGTACATGTGAATGTAGGAGAAAACCGAATTTGTGTATGTTTTGGTTTTCTCGTATTTGCTTACATTTATGCGAGGCTGTGTATGTATTTAAATCAAGACTGTTTTATACGTTGGTTTGGTTTGTTGCTCATTAATGTGTCTGAATGATCACATGAGAGATTTAAATGACACAGATATGAAAATAAAATACCATTCATAACCTCTGAAAAAAAGCCAACTGTATCTAAGTATGTACATATGTATTTAAGTACTTATTGACCTGATTCAAGACTCTCCACTTATTTGACTCAGATCATAAATAAATATTAAGCACATTTTGTGTTGCTGTGTGTGCTGTATCTACAGCAGTCAGGTTGTGTGGGTTGTGTTTGGTTCAGTGTAGGTGGATTCTCACCCGGCCCAGTTCCTTGTCCTCCAGAGCCAGGACCCCGGTGCTCTCGGTGAATAGCTTCACTTTGACTGAGGGGAGAGGGTGAGTCGTGGTGAAGTCCCCCTGAGTCCCCCACCTGAAAGACATAAGGATCCTCTTTAAAGTTGGCCAGACACTGTGTGTTTTTATTGATCTTTTACATTGTGTTAACTCACACGACACATTTTAATCAACCTTTTGCTCACACTGGACAGATCAACTGACCGGCGATAACGGACCAGTTTGTCTGACAATTGCAATAGTACAAGAAAGAACATCCGCAGTGAGCAGATAGATGAGCTGTAGGCAACAGGCTCTTACTGTGCTTTGTCTGATCCAACACACCTCCAACACATCAGCATTTGGTATCGGTCACACCTAATTTAAAGTTTTAATTAGCTCCGCTGAATCTTAGCTGATATTTTCTGGTTTTTAAATCTCACATGGAGAGAGGATCTTTTGAGATTGAGTCAGGCTTTGTGAGGATACAAGTGTTTAGGTCCCAAAATTGTCATGAACCAGTGTTTCCCATTAATCAGGGAGACCATGGCGGCCTGCCATGGTCTAATTTGTTCCGCCAATGAACCCAAAATATTTTCACACATCTCATAACAACATTATAGTTGTGTTTTGTGGGCGCTGCTGTGAGCTCGCACGCTTTTGCACCAAAGTAATGCATTGAACTTTAAAATGTGCACAATTTCCTTTGGGGAGGGGGGCATGTCCCCGCACCCCCCAAGAAGGTCCGAGACCTACCCACCATAGTCTTTTAAAATGCGATGGTTGCTTAGCAGCAGCTCCGATGGCCTGGTGGTGCTCGGAGTGCTCCTGATTGTGGGGGAGCGGTGAGGTGGGGGGGTGGCAGTGGGGCTGCCAGAGGGGCCCCGGCGAGGACGGGGGATTGTTGGACTTTGGGTTGGGGCTGCACTGACCTGCCTCGGGGGTGTGTGGGGGTCTGGGGCTCGGGGCTTTGGAGCCTCTGCGCGCTGGGGGGGCCGGGCTCCCTGCACTGTAGGGAGGGATGCCTCTGGCTGGGCTGGGGGACTGTTGGCCTGGTTCTCCCGCGTTATCGTTCCCTGGCGGCAGGGAGCTTCCCGGCACGGCTTTCTGCTGTTCTTCCTTGGGGCGGGGTACAGCTTCCCCCGGGACATGCGGTCTGGGGTCCGTTGCGCTTTGCGGGGTCGCAGGGTGCCCTGGCTTCTGGGGGTGGGGGTCTCTGCACGGGTCGATTGCGGTTTGGTGGGCTGCGGTGGGATTGTGGGGCGATTGTCGATGCATCTTGATGCATTATGCTTTTTCCCTGGGCAGGGTCTCTGAATGGCTGCTGGGCGTTTAGTTTGTGCATTGGAGTCCGGGGGGGGGGGCATTTCCTCGTTGGCTTGGAGGGACCAGTTTGCGTCCCTGTTTTGCTTCGTTGGCCTCGGATCCATGCTTCCCCATTTCTCTGTGGGCCAGTTGTTGGACCCCTCTGGATACTGAGGTATATAGTTAGTTTTCGGGATGTGCAGTGTGGGTGCGGGGCAGGGCTGTGCTCCGGTTTGTTCTGGGTTTGTGCCTGGAGTTCTCGGCCCTTGACGGGTGGGTGGGTTGTTGGTGGCATGCAGCTGAGCTAGTTGATTTTGCCTCGTTGCTGGTTTGGCTGGTGTTGCACGGCGGCCGGGGGGCGTGCTGGGCATGGGGGATGTCGGCTGGCGCCGGCGGCCTTAGTTTTTTTCTTGGCGGGTGCACGGTGACCTGTGCGGCGCGTTTGCTGCCGGGCTGGGACTTGCTGCTGGTGTTTCTCTCTGCTGGCTTTCGCTGTCGTGTTGTTCCATTTGCTCTCTCGTTTGCCCGACCTCGCACGCGGGATTCGCAGGGGGATGCTGGGCATTGGGTGTCGCCGTGCTCGCGCAGTGTGCGCGTTGGGCTCGTCACTTGTGCATTGGTGTTGATGATTGCGTGGCATTTGGGCATTTTGGTTGTTCGCTGCGCGGCGGTGGGGGTGGGGGGGGAGCCACTGGTCTATGTTGTGTGAGTGCCGCAGTCGGTCCGGGTGCTGCTCTTCCGCGGGTTACGCTTTTTGCGTTCCGTCGTCATTACGTTGTCAACTGGGTCGGGGTCTTCCGTGTTTGCATCGCGGTGCATCTGGGAGTCTTTGTTTTTTTTTTGATTGATTTCTTCCTTTTCTTTCTTCCACCCCTATTGGCTACTGGGGTTCTTGCCTGCCTGTTACAGTCGTGGCGTCCCACTCTTACTAACAACTACATTCTTTAACAGGCTTATGCGCACACACATTTTACACACACACACATGTACACACACACACACACACATACAGACACATTCACCCACACGCACACAGACACACAAAGACACAAACAAACTTAGGTTGTCCCTGGTAGAATTATTCCTGATGCTTTTCTTTCAGTTACTTATTTAAATTAATTATTATTCCAGCTCTCGTGGCTGTGTTGTGTTGCTTATTCAGTGTGTGTGACTGTTTCTTGTTTTAATTTTTCTCTTAGTTGTCTTAATATGTCAGCTGTTCATTGCTGCTGTTCGGCTGGTTGTCTTTTACTCTTATTATTATTTTTATTTTTATTAATTGTTTGTTTTTGTTTGTTGTGTTTTTCTCCTCCTCCCCCCTCTCTGTTCTATTGCAGGTTTCGTTGCTTTCTGCAATTGGTGTTTCCCACAGCTTTTCCCTGTTGTCCCCACCTTCCATCCCCCTTCTCTTGCAGGTGTTGTCCTTTCTCTGTGCTGTCTGTTTGTGCCCCCCCATCCCCGTGTCTGCCCCCCTGTCCGACCCGGTGACAAATCAATACATAATTAAATAAATAATAAAACAGACAAAGGAGTATTTTAATACTCTCTTGTTAAAGTAAAATCTGTCTGGCACAATATGGTATCCAGGTCATTATACTCTATACCAGGCTGCTGGGCAGGACAGGTTTAAAACAAAAACAAAAAAAATAAAACAACACTGCATGAGCACAACCATCAGAGAGCCTTCATGTGTGTATCTTAGTATGACACACTGTTTGTTTTCAATTTGTGCATCAAGCAATTCATTTTTTAAACATGAAAGGCACATATATATCTAAATAGGCAGGATGCTCAGCTGGTCTGCCTAATTTAAATCGGTAGTAAGGTGTGGGGTATGGGAAATTATATGTTGTGTGTATTAGTGTGTGTTTAACAGTATGTTTGAAGGTTCTCTCTGTGGCGTATAATGCCTACTTGACTGTTCTGCAAACTAATTTCCCTACCAGGACAAGTAAAGAAATTAACTGATTGATAGATTGAGAAGTTTGATTGTTACAGCAGCTTCAAATCCAACACAACAGTACAATACAATATAGTACAAATAGAAAAATAAGAATAAGAGTTATATGTACACAATATACAGATGCAATTGATATGAAAGTTGCACAGATCGCAGCAGGAAGAAGTGGCACTGTGTAGAAATAAAAAATTTAATATGATTGCACAGGACGAAAATACATACAGCAGTATAGTGTAGAGTAAATAATATATATTGTATAATTATGTGTGATTAGGAAAAAGTGAACAGAGCCCCAAGTATTACTACTGGATAGAAACAAATATATTGTACCCCTAAAACTTTGTACATTTGCAGGCTCCAAAACCCTCAGGACCAGGTGTTTTCATTCGTATGTGCAATCACTCAGACATTGTGGACTGCAAAGTCAGCTTCTACAAGAGGTCACCCTAAAAAAAACAAAAAAACAACTTTGCTCAGTTTCCTGTAAGAACATCAAATCAGGTCCAAAGGAAGAAAACAGTTCCATCAGGGTCGGCTATTATCACTTACTGTTCATCTCACGAAGACTCTAATGGAACAGAATGACGCCTACTGCTCAGGATGATGGAGACACGGCCATTATATACACAGAGCCAAGCTCCCATGATTACATGCCTTTATATGAAAACTGTCCTCTTAAGTGTGCAAGAAAGTGTGTGTGTGTGGTTGGGGGACGACGACAAGTGACCCCTTCACTTGTTGAGGGCGAGCAAAGCTAATCTCCATATCCACTTTCCCCAGTTTCCAAGGCAACATTGTGTGGAAAGGTGTGTTCACTTCACACGCACACACACGCATGCACACACATGCACACACACGCACACACACAGAGACAGACAGACAGCGTGTCTTAAGTAATCACAGACATCAGGTCTTTACTGACCTGAGATAACATCCTTAACGTGAGTGAAAATAAGACTTGTTATTACGGTTTCATTTTGTGTTTGGTTTGCTAACTTGACCTTGAGCAATAAAAACATTCACCTTTGAAAACATATTTTAGGAAAATCGAAAGGTGAAATCTCAGCTGTTTGAATTTGTTTGCAAGAGTCAGGGCAGAAATTTCTGCACTTTGTGTGTTTGTTTAAACTGCAGCCTGCAACGTCTGATGTTTAATAACCTTATGTGACAACCATAAATGACAAAATCATGCTTTACATGTCTAAATACATTTTATTGGTTGTGCTTCTTATTGTATGTCACTATGTATATAGTATTTGTGTTTTTAAAGTGTTTTGGCTCTAGGGATGGCAATGTGGGTCGATTATTCACTTTACGACAACTGCCGGATAGATTACCATGAAATTTCATCAGATGCTCATGGTGAATCCTACTGACTTTGGTGATCCCAACATTTCCCTTTAGCGATACTGGATTGACAACTGTGCTTCAGAGAGAAATATACTGACAATCAGATGGATTACCCTAAAAGCTGTAACAGATGTACACGTTATTCTTTTGCACTCACGCCACTAGCAGGGCACAGTTTTCACAGGATAACTGAAAACATCTACTGGATTAATTGGCACAACATTTTGTTCAGACATTCATGGTTCCCAGAAGATGACTTTGACTGCTATACATACATAATAAGAATTACTAATTAGTTATTTAGCTGATGCTTTCATCCAAAGTGACTTAGAATTGCTCTACATGTCAGAGGTCGAATGCCGCTGGAGCAAGTGTCTTGCTCAGGGACACAGAGGTGAAAGTCGTTGTGGGAATGCCAACATCATTATTATTTTATTTATATTTATATAAAATACATATTTGTCCATGTCTGTATATGTAAATTAAATAAAGTCATGTCAACATTTATAAAAGATTGGCAGTTAATTCTAACACATATTTTGGCCCCACTGGTGCAGCCCAGTCACTTGCCTTTGTTGCTTTGACACGTAAGTTTCACGGCAAGGAAAATAATCATCACGCGTGTACTTGATTTGTAATAAAAGAAATAGCGGGCTGGTCCTTTAAGCGAGTCACAGATGCTTGACATTCCAGAATAATTAAGGGTATTCCTAATGAAAAAGTCCTCAGTGATTAAAGAACGGCAGGAGTCATCAGAGCAATTGGACAACATTGTAATCACAGCTAATCATGTTGTCCGTGTAATTATAGTTAACAACGATGTAATTAAGTGTATGGGTGTGTTATTAAAGATGAGGGATGTGAAAGTGTGCTGCGGGCTAATTACAGCGAAGGTTACAGGAGCCGCAGTAAAGCCGGGTTTCGGCACAGGATCCCGGTAGAACAAACAGGTCATCAGGTGGCGGTGAGCTCGTCTAATTGGCTCTTTTTGCTAATTCTGGCTGGAGGAGGGCAGTCGGAAAAACACCTCTCCACCGGCAGCCAGAGCATGTGAAAGGGCAACCTCATTACCGTACGGACCCCCGTAGTCAGATGGCCAAACAGCCGTTCAGTGTATTCTTTTCTCATTTGATTACAATCTGCGTCTGTGTAACTTTGTGGTTTCACAAGAGTCCTTAAGAATTAATATTGGTACAACTCATGTCATCGTATCACATCTACCATCATCAGAAAGGTGGTTTGTATAATATTAATAACCTGGGTCTTCTGGGAAAACACAAGGGAACACTGAGTGAATACAGACCCAAATAAGCAACGTTGAGTGTTAGACACAAAATGTGATGGGAGATACGGGATTGAGTGAAATGTACCCGAGGTCAGAGAAGTGAACATATGAAGTAACCTCAGCTCAGGAGGCAGACACTGTTTACAGCAACATTCCCAGAGTTTACCCTATGAACAAATGTAAATGCTCTGTATTTACATAGCGCATTTCTAGTCTTTGCGATCACTCAAAGTGCTTATTACACTACATTGCATTCACATTGTATTCATACACTGAGCCTAAGTGCTCAAACAGAAACTAGTACCCATATGGCTAGCATCCAAGTATGGCTCAACTTCACTAGAAATCCTAACGTAGTAAGTTATCATTTTAGCATGTTAAATATTAACATGACAACTATAATCATGTTAAATGAGGGGCCAAAAGGTTAGAGAAGTGGACTTGTGGTACAGAGGGTCCCTATCCTTCTCTTTGGGTGGAGCAGATGAAAAAACAGTGCTTGCCCCTCACTCATCACCACCACTGATGTGCCCTTGAGCAAGGCGCTTAACTGCTCTGGTGGCCTAAACCTTACTGTAGAGTGTCAACAGTGAAAAAGAGAACCTGGCTCTTTACTTAGAGCTCAGCCTGAGTCTAACCCAAAAGGTCCAGTCAAGTCTGACAGTGTACAGCTGAGCCTGACCCGTCTGAGATGTCTTTTATTAACTTGCTAAGCATGAGTGTATTAACAGAGGTGGATATGGTATGGGGAGCCAGCAGAGTTACTGGCAGTTAGCCCCAGTGGCCAACAAAACATCCCCTGCAGCCTTTTTTCATAGACCTCCATTTCTGTAAAACTGTTGACAGGACTCGTCCAACTGTTAACCAGGAACATTATTAATCTTTGTACTATGCATTTTAAACCACGGAGGTTTTAAAATTAGTAAAGTCTATTGCAGGAAGGGGTGGAAATAGGTGGGCAGACAGCATCTTGGAGTCCAGTACATACATGATGTTAACATGCAGGCATTATCGCTTTAGAACGTTAATGTTAGCCTGTTAACATTAAGATTGGACTGTGTTAACACGTCTGCAAGGTAATGTTAGTATTTAGCCCAAGTTCTGCTGCTGAACTGAGCCTGACAAGCAGAGTCTGAGAAGTCCTTAGAAGGCCACAGTAAAGCATATTTGCCTTTTCCTCTGGCGCCACCCTGAGACCAAACATTTTATAACCCAGTAATGGTAAGTAGCCACAGGGGCGGACTGGTCCATTTCAGGCTGAACCGGCGAGTTTTTATTTTTCAGTTCAACAGCTGCAGTGAACGCTGTCTGCGTCTATCAGACTGGGCCAAACCAATACTTTCAATATTGAGGGGGGATACGAGTAGTCCCTCCCAACTTGGACCGCTCCTCGTTTTTGCTGAAACCTGATTGGCTCAACGACGCCGATAAAAGGAGTTTCTTTTCCATCTAGGAGGAGTTTAATCTCAACACAACTCAGCCCAGGGTGGAGTGACATGCACAGCAGAGAAGGTAAATATGTCGAAAAGAAAGAAAGAGGTAAAAGAAATGTGGTGCCAAAAAAATAAGCATTTAGAAGAAAAAAATGTTGGCACAAGAGGCAGCTAAATGTGCCAAATTTACCGACCTCTTCCTTGGTGGAAAGGTGCTGTAGCAGTGCAGATGAGGCAGGACCCAGCACAGGCACTGATAAGTAATGCACTTGTTAAATACTGAGATTATTTATCTATGCATTTATGTATAGGCATATAGGCTATATGATATATTTATATATATTATAAACAGAGGTTGAAGGATGAAGGAAGAGGAGGAGGAGCGGGAGGAGAAGGACAATGGAACCAGAAACAGTGACAGGTACAGTGAGCAGGGCTGGGTAGGCAATCATCCATTGATACAATTAGAGAAGGGATTATTGTTGGTCACTGATGTTCTTAACACTCATGTAGCTGCAGAATCAGTACAGAGCACACTGCTCTGTTTTCTGAGACTGCATTGTAGTTTTTGATATATATCAGGATTGCCTGACCTGGTCTTGTTGCAGTGGCGTACGTGCTTATACAAACTTAAGAGGCAGGTGTCCCTCCACTGCGCTCGCATAAAAGGCCTTTCTCCGTCCTCAAAGTCCCGGGCTGAATTTCAGCTAAGAATAGAAAAGATGTCTACTATTCATCTAGTAATGAAAAACATCTCATGTCTGACCAGGAACTGAAACACACAGAGGGTTTTGAGTTGAGCTGGGCTTTCCTTTCTGTGTATTTATGTTTGTATGTGATGAGGAGAGACCGACTCCAATCATTGTTACATAACAGCCTAATTTTCTCACTGTATCAGCCTCGTCTGAAGAATAAGAAACAGGGCTGAGGGCGGGTTGCCGTGGTGTTCGAGGAATCTGAGGGTCACTCCTCCCCTGTTACATAAAATGCGAAGTTTAGTCATCTTCAGTCTATGATCTACAGAACGCTGTTTGGATTTCAAAGACGTGGGTCTGCTGTGATTCAGTTTCAAGTAACTGTATTAAGGAGGCTTTTCACCGAGGTCTGTGTGTTCATTTCATCTCCAAAAGCTCTGCCGATAATCCAATTAGGGGTCAAGAGTGAAGGCTCAGCAGGCTGTAAACATGAAGCTTTCAGTAAACTGGGTATAATCTCTGATCACTCTTTAGCACAAATGCATATTACAGCCTCAGAACTTTGTGTCACACCTGGTCTATGTACAGAAACCCTTAAATATCAATGAACACCCTCAAAGTAACAATGTTCATGAGTTTACGTGTATTTATGCTGTAAAACAACAACACCATTAAGCTGCAGCAAGGCTGGATCAGTAGATACAATAAGAGTTGTATATGGGGGAGATGGAAAAGGATATATATATAATATGGACTCTGGTGGTGGATTTGAATGATTTTTTATTGATTTTTCTCCTGCCGCTGACTCCTGATAGATGACCTTTTAAAACCCCTTCCCAGTTGATGCTGTGACTGGTGTAGGCCTGGTATTCATTCATTGACAGTTGATCTCTCTTACATAAGCCAACTTGCTCACAATGACAATTCTAACATGCTGATGAGCAGGTCTACTGTTTACCAAGTCCACCATGTTAGCATAACGTTAATTAGCACAAAACACAAAGCGACACTAGTCACTACATTTTCTCCACACACAGATCACTTTTTACATTTAAATATAAGCAAAGATCTACCTTTGTTCAAAAGGTTCAACAAGGCTGACTCTTTCTTTCACGTCCTTTTTTACTCATAAATGTGTTTTGCTTATTGTTACTTCACTTTACTTGGATGTCTGACCTTCACTGTGCAGAATGATGTGTGCGCGGACACTGGAAGATGGTTTTCACAGTCATCTGCTGAAGAGGCAAAGTTTCACCTATAATCTCATTTCCAGACGTGTACGTACAAAAGGATTTTATTTCATCCTAACTAGTTTAAGCCAATCACGGCTTGTGACTTAGACAAGTGTAACGTGACGACGGGTATTTAAAGTCTGCACATTTTTAGTCTGCTTGAGACCAAACCGACACACTGAATACAGCAGGAAGAAGTAGAACTCACTGTGGTCTGGAAGCCTCAGCTTGATCTGTCTGCAACTTTTCCCCTCCCTCCACCTCCATGGTGCAGTAAACGATCCGGTTTGGAGCAACGGACCTCAGACCTGGACCTCCACGATCACAATCTGAAAAACACCGGCAGAGGGTTCAAGGTGACGCGTCTTCAAATTATTGTCTGAGCAAGCCGAAAACATTCAGTGTTCTATGATATTTGTGCTGAGTATATTCTTGATTAATCATTCTGTCTATAAAATATCAGAACAAAGTGACAAATTGCCACGGTGACATCTTCAAATGTCTTTTTGTCCAATATTGTGTCAAATCAACAGTCCAAAACTCAATGATATTTAGCTTACATTGAAATAAAAGAGATTTAAATTTATTATCAATTAACTAACAAATTATCAGAATTGGTGTTCAATCATTATTTGATGATCAACTGACCTGTTCATATGCCATGTGGAGCACTGTCAGGATTTTAAGCATTTCTGCCTCATTATCTCTTGAGAGAAACTAAATTAATGGGCACATGTAAACACCAGTTTCAGCTGTTCAACCAACTATAAGCCAATCAGAGATCACATCCACACACACCTCCAGAGTGAAGGACAGCACAACATCAGACTTGGACAGGATGTCTCCCTCGTCCCCCATGTCCAGGAAGGAGTTGTTCATGGAGGAGCGTTTGAGCTTCTGTTTAAAGTCCGGACCTCCTTTGGACACCGGCAGACTCTCCAGGTTGGCCATGAGCAGGTTGACCGACGAACGAAGCTCCTCCACGTAAAGAGGCTCCATGTCAGCAGAGACGAACTTTGGGTTTCTCTTCTCCTGCAGGACAGACATTCGGTCATAGTTTATCATTAACACAAAGGTTTACTTCACATCAACACACACTACTTTCACTAACTAAGTTGGTTGCATTGATAGTGAAAGGATAATTTCATGGGTACAAACACTAAAAACAAATGTACATCTCAGAGTCAAGGGTCACATTAACCAAATATTTTCCAAAAAATCTGAAGGCTGTCATTTTGACAGATGAGGGTGATCTACTATAATGTTAGTAAGCTAATTAGCGACTTCAGCTTCTTTGGGACTAACGTTCCCCAACTTCAAGACTCTAGCAGATCATGATTCAGCCAGAACAAAATTAAAACGGTCATGAGAAGTCGTCTGTCCAAGGCCAAGACCCAAACCCTTAAGGTGTTTGATTACGCTTAGGCATGCACTTTAGGTCCATGCAAAGACCAAGAGGAAGGTTCAGACTAGGCTAGCAGGTCAACTGAGTTCAGTTTAATGTCCTGTTAACAGTTGACCGATCGGTTTGTGTCTCTGTTTCTTTTCTCAAAAAAGTTTTGATTGTTTTGATCACTAATATTCTACTAAAGTGATATAAATAATATAGGAATTGACACATACGACTTTATGACTGGTTTAAATGTCGGGAGTCACCACTATTCTTTCGCCTCTAGTTTACCTTGCTGGTACATCTGAATGAGTTATAGTACTTTGGTGCTCATGGTTTTCATAAAATGAACACAACGATTGAATTGTGGAGAATCTAACTGATCTAACGAAGTATACAATGTCCGTATTGAAATATGTTTAAACATTTATATTTGTATGTTCAATCTAAGTAGCTTAGAACTAGCTTAAATAGCTTAAACAGGCGACCTGGTGGGCTTTAAGAGGCTTTATACATCAAGACAACTTCTATAAAAAACAGACCAGGCGTCTAAATGAGGACTGCATTTATTTGTCAAAATCTGTATCCACACCTGGCCAATAAAAAGGGATCTGCATCTCATTAGGACCCAGCTTTTAATTAAAGTTTTATGGTAATTGTTATGATGTTCTAGTTGTTTTTGAAAATGAAATGCTATTTAAATGATAATATGTCTCATTATAATCAAAACATTACAATTAAAATTACGGGTCATAATAGATTGACAGAATTTTTAAAACCCTGCCTGTAAAAATGACTTGCATGTTCACTTAAAAACATGCATGCTGTTATACAAACACAATAACAGACTTTTAGTTGTTCGAAGATGGATATATTTGTCAGTTTGTGCTTTTTTGATTCCCATGTGCCTTATGATGAGCAAGTTGGCAAAGAAACATTGTGCTTTTCTTAATGAAATACATAACAAATTATAATTTGGGGAGATGACAGTGTTGTTAGACTGTTGGGAGAGAAAAATCACAATTAGGATTTTTGGTGGGGGACAAAAGAGATGTGTTATTCTAGAGAAAATTACTTGATTCTAATTTGGATAATCAATGCATGGTTTTAGTCACTTATAAAGTAATACCAAATACCACTTTAAATCTGCATTAATTGATTGAATTGATTCTGAAATACTACTTCCACTTCTCCACCAACTCCTGAGAAAATTATCTGGCTCTTTAGGTACGAGAAGCTCCACTTTCTTTACCAGTTGGTCTGTTTCTGTCTGTGGTTTGATGCTGGGCAGGTAGTGTACAGTGGGTTTATTCAGAGCTGGTTCTGCTGATAAAAATGTTGAGACTGAACTAACTGAGCCAAATTCTCTGTAGAGCTGCATAGTTGGTGAAAATCCCCCTTTCACATTACTCAGAGTAAAATTATTGAATAGTGCAGCTTTAAACATTATCTTGATATATATGATTATGACATGATGAGTTTGGGCTTTACTATGGATAATAAGTGTTTCTCACCCTTGAAATCCTCTCAGCCAGCTGTAACCTTCCATCCAGCTCTCTGCGGATCTGAGCCGCCTGCTCATCCACGTTGTCTAGCTGAGAAAAAAAAAAAGGCAGAGTTTCATTGGTCAGCCAATCTGAGAGCTGTAGAATTAATAAACAAATCAACAGGTGAAGGAGAGACACAACAGAAGAGGTCTACTGTGAAGAAGTTGACTTTAAGAAAGCTCAATTGTGTATCGATAAACCAACCAGCTGCTGATGTGGAAACAGATGACAGTAATTAGCCAATCAGGAGTGAGGGTCTGAGGATCAGGATTAGGACAGAAAGTGCTTTTCAACCAATTACAGAAGAGAAAAGTTCAATCGTATGTATTTACTTCTGGTTAGTGGCCTAGCGTTTAGGTTAATCAGATGCAGTTCCTATGGTGTCCACTAGATGCTGCTCCAAGAGAATTCTAACTGTATTAAAGTGAATAGGAAAACCCCAAACTTCTGTCTCACACATTCGCAATATTTAATTTCACCTTCTTTATTGTGCTTTTTTAGCTGTAAAGATAATAGGACATCCAACCTTGGGGTTGGGACACTGCCTGATATGCAAATTGGGTCACAAGAAAGCTACTTAAAATATAAAAAGGAATTTAAAAAATTAAGTTAAATCAAGTCAACTTTTATAAGTTAAAAGAAAGACACATTAAACTTTTCTATATGATTGCTTAAATTATGTAGCATGGCCTTTCTATGGTCACTATGGTTAATTTCACACTGGCATTCAGCACATAGCAAAAGAAGTGAACTTTTGTGATGTGCAGGAAGCTAGCAAGTTAGCAAAACATTTGACACCTAAGATTCCTTTTGCAAGCATCTAGTTGTGTTAAGCTGCAAAACAGTTTCGGTGCAGGTTAAACATGACAAGACATGATGAGATGAGATGCACAAGCAACACCACAACATGCAAAGTCATAATTTACCAGATTTCACACTGCTCCCTCTGGAGCCACAAAAGGCTATATACAACTTTTTTCACATATGCAATTGACAGCTGTCAATCAAAGTCTCAATTTGCTTTGCTTAAGCACACTTTGACATGTGGACAGGAGAAGCCAGGGAAAAAATAAGTAGCCCACCAGTTGTGTCTGACACACTAACACCTGAGCTAAAGCTGCCCCAACTATGTGCACGATTTGACAGTGTTGAGTGATCAGAGAGTGCTTAAGCACAGACAATGCTAAATGTACATCAGTGCCTTTTGTTTTTCTAAGCTTAAAACAAGGGAAGAAACTTTTTCAATTGATATGGTGAAAATGAAATGGCCCTGAGTCTCATATTTACTGTTTTCACTGCAGTTCAACCTTGGCCACAGGGAGCTGAGCCTGTGCGCTCAGAGCTTCACATTGTGCACATGATCAGCCAGCAAGTCTTCTGTTAAACTTGATGTCAGCGAGACTCAAAGAGGAGATAAAAGCAGAGTGAAAATTTAACAAAGTTTGCTTACTGGGCAGAAAACGGCGCCTCATTTCAGAAATCTGTGATGAGCGGAGGCGTCTAAAATGACAATCGGAGATAAAACAGCTCTGATGGAAACTGGCCTGAAGCCAAAGAGATGAGGGGAACCTTCAGAGCCGATAAGAGAGAAAAGATAAGCTGTTTAATTTGAGCCTGTTCAAAAATGGGAACCAGAGAATGAGTTAAAAATCAGCCGTCAGTGTCTCATTTACAGACATTGCAAGTTTCCTTTAGTCACACGCAGTAGTTATTCCAGACGTGCAGCTGAAGAAAAAAAAACGCTGATAGGCAAACAGGAGTCACAACTATAGATGGTCTCTGATCACAACTGACTCACATTTTAACCATCTGTTGGCAGACTGCAGCTCTTTCCTACAAACCCTCCCTTCACCTGGAAGGACTTATTTAACAATAAGTTCACAATATCTGGTCTTTTACACTGTTGGTTATCAACTGCAGCCTTCTTCATGTTTTTGTTTGCAGTTCCTGACATCACTGAAAGGATTCGTTAAAGCTGTTTGGATTTGTGTTTTAAGGTGAAAGGAAGCAGAAAACACCTACAAATTCTCCACACACCTCTACACACAATATAACACAATTATAACTTCGCACGAGGGAGTTTATGCACATTACAGCAGCTCATCAAGCCTGTGCGACATTGCCTTTTTTTTTTTTTTTTACTGAAATAAAATGCATGATGGTGCAAATAATGTTGGGGGACTGGGGCTCAAAGTGCTGAAAGGGTGTCTTTGAGAAAATAATTCTCGCCTTTCAGAGCAAGGCCTTTGAGGGATGAAGTTTCACAGGAAAACCACCTCCTTCTGCTGCCATACAAACCTGGGGGTTTGGTGGGAGGAGCTAAGCGGAGTGATACGAACAGCAGAGAGAGACGCCGAAGGTTTTGCATTGTAGGTTCAATCGTTGCCTACTGCAGCTTTAATGTTGTGCATTCCCAACGAAGGTATTTGGTCATAAACCTAAGTATTGTACAACCTGAAATTTTGACCTGATGATGGTGCTACAGGGAAGCAAAAGGATCATTTAAGTTATCAAAATGCATCCTGGGGAGACATGAATGTGTGTACTAAATGTGATAATAATCCATATAACAAGCCATACTTGTTAAGATGTTACTCAAAACCACAAATATGTTAATCAAAACCACAAAATCAACTTTGTAGTGGCGCTAGAAGAAAAGTAAGGGGATCAATCATCATTAGAATTCATCCTCTGGGGACACTGTAGCATGCACGTACAGAGGGGGGTGCAATGGGTGCTTGAGCACCTGCCCTTTTGCCCTTTGATGCCCAAAGTGCCCTTTTGTCAATGACAAATTTAATTAATTTTTAAATTTGTAAAGGTCTTTTTGTGAAGGCCTGCTGAATCAACCTATTACTAAAATGAATTAATAATAATTTCGCAGTAAATAAAATGACCCACATTATGACCTTTCACCTGATGATCTCATCCGTGACGAGCCCTCCCGTTCAGACACCGTTAGTGATTCAGCAGCTCTGACTACAGGACACCTGCGATTCCGCCGGTAAGAGGGGTTTGCCGCAATGTGCTTGTTGTGGGTTGTTGGATGTCTTTTACAAGAAAGACGCAAAGAGAGCAGCACAGTAGTTGTATATTGCTGTGTGTCGCCTGTAGCAGTAATGTTAGCCACCGACTAACACTGTGCCGACAGCCAACGTTGCTTCTGCACACAGATAAACAAAGGTGCTCTGTTCACTTCCTTCTTGCTGTTTGAGGGTGAAAAGTTTCACGGTCGAAGTATTGTATTTTTTATGTAATTTGACTAAAAACCTTTCACTTGAACTAGGATTATTACAGGAACTTAATAAAAAAACGTAGTGTGCCTTAAAATAATTATAACAACATTGGTAAAACAGGTTTATTACTTATTCCTCCGAATTATAGCCTACTCATAAGCTTTTACTTATTAGCCCTCTTTAAAACGATCATTTAAATCAGAACAGTATTTGAATAGATTTAATAGCAAACCTATTATATGAACTAAAATAACTGGAAATACATGTAATAATGTCAGTGTCATTATAAAATAAATAATATTCCTGACATCAAAGTAAAGAATGAACAAGAAATGGCTCTATATAGATTTCAGACAAAGGTATGAAATATTAATGTGAAAGGTAAATGCTGCTCTGTCATGGTTATTATGGGCCGACAGAATGAACACACACATCTTTTTAGATTTATGATTAGACATATAGTCAATCAAAATCCAAATATATCTCAGATTAACAATGCAATATATAAAATCATCACAATATTGCCCACACACACACACACACACGCACCTGTCTATTACCCCTGCCTTGGAAAACCTAGTCCTTTCTCCCAGTACTGTTTCCTTCCCAGATTATTTCACACACTTTTTTGAACCTGGTATCTTATTTCCTCTACCTGCAGCTCTCGGTGTGCAGCCGTCTCCGTTTGCATCTCCCTCTTATTTTCTCACAGCAGCCAGCCTTTGCAGCAGCTGCAGCACTACAGCAGGTCAGTCATAGTGAGCCAGTCCCAAATACTATCAGCAATCTTTACATCTTGTCATGGTCACATATTTATTTCATCAACTAATATATCTCCTATGTTTGTTATAATATCTCTAGTCACAGATCACCTCAAGTAGTATCAGCAGCAACAAAAGCAGCAGCAGCAGCAACATCCCCTGCAACCCCTCAACAGCAACTGTTCCCTGTAAGTTATGTCAGCCCACCGTGTTTTAAAGGTAGATCTGGGTATTCCCTGTGTTTCTTTTTCAAAACTGTGTCACAGCATTTGTTGATGTATCGATACAGAAGCATCTGTATATGCATATAATCAAGGAACACATAACAATATATTTCTGGATCGATATTTTGAGAACAGCCCTATTTAAATCCTTGTTCAATGTACCTCTTTTATACTTCGAGCACCTGCCCTTCCAAAGGTCTCTGCACAGCCCTGCGCTGTAGTGTGTAATAGCCGTATTTTTGTCTGGACCAAAGTAGAGGAGGATTAGCTAGTGTGTCTAAAAATGACAATATAATCAGCCAGTTTCCTCTTTTTTTTTCTCCTTTCTTAATTAACATTGTGTTTAAATGAGTTGAACAAGATGTGCTTATGAAACACAAAAAGTAGTTTGAGATTTAATCTTAGTAGTTCAGCACCTGAGAGAGATGAACGACAATATCAGTAAGGGGCATAAGTTATTTATTAAATAATTTGGTTTTATATGTATATATAAACTAATATCACGGCTGTCATCTCATGTTACCACTTCCTGTCAGGCCTGATATCTGCCCTCACTAATTGGTGAGAGATGGAAATTTGTTCATGGATAATTTGACAGGTTGGTTTGTTTTGCTATTTCCATCCTGCTGACACTTCAGTCCACAAAATCCATCAGAAAAGTGGTCGTGTGGATCCATGTGCAGACCGCTGAGGCTCCGAAACCCTGAAATGAAAACTAACAGACATGTTTAATCATTCTGCGGTCGTTACTGATGAGGTCTGCTGATCACGGAGTACTAATTAATTCAACACTGAGGAAGAAAAAGGAACCAAGTGTCAGACAGATA